CGTTTCCTGTTTTCTGTGTTGTCTTACTTTCTCTACAAAATGTAGAACGTTGATGTGGGATGGAGTTTCAGGGGAGACATTTGCCTCCACAACTTCGATTAAATGAATGGGATTAGGAAATACCCAGGAATATTTAAGAAACATGTGGATATTTTACCTGAAGTAAAGGCTCTGCAGTTCTTGATGGAGATCTCCTGAAGGGAAGGTTTTACTTTGAATCTGAAAAGAGTCACTGGGCCCGAAACGTTAACTCTGCGTTCTCTCCACAGATGCTGCCGGATCTGCTGAGTTTTTCCAACAATTTCCAATAATGTCTTAGCAAATTGATTTCTAGACTTTTTAATTCAATCAGAACTCCACAATGAGGATGTTAGTGTGGTGGGTGGGAGAAGTTGGTCGTTGGGGGAGTGTTGATGGGGAAGGGGAGATAAGGAGTGGTTTGGGAGGGGAGAGTAGATGTGGGTTTCAATGCTTGGTTGCATTCATGCACACGACGTAGAGAGGGCCCAAAAATCCTGCACAGAGTACTGGGCCCACTGTCACTTGTTGAGCTCCCACCTCCAGGAAATTGAACTTTGCTCAGTCACATCAGGAAACTGGAACCTGCCAGGCAAGTTCCAGCCATCTCATAATATCCCTGTTAACAAAGCCCTCAATGAGCCTAACTGACTGTCTTCCTCATGGGAACATTGCTTGGATACTGGCACGCTGGCTATTTTGAAACTGCCTCTGACCCTGATGTTTGGATGAAGCCCAAAATTTCAAATTGGCGAGTATCCAATCCTGACAAAGGGTTTCGGCCCGAAACATTGACTTTCCTGCTCCTCAAATGCTGTCTGACCTGTTGTGCTTTTCAGTGCCATACTTATTGATTCAAATATTCATATTAACTCTGGTTTAACAGAAGGAGGAGAAAATAAATCACAGCAAAATGGTACTGAGCGACTTTTAACCTTATTCAAACCTGCTCACATTGGAAAAGGTCACCGTGACATGTACCAAAAGAGCACGTTTCAAATTGGTTTCTGATTTACCATCAGTTTTGCCGAGAATTGCCCAAAATATTGCTCTTGACAACACCACTTGTCAATTACAGACCTAGATGTTCAAATTGCAAAGAGACCTTGTTGCACTGTGACTTATCAAGTGATGACACCTTCCAAAAAGGAGGAGAAGGGGAAAGTAAACATCATGGAAATAGCAGCAAAAAGTGTGCCAATGTGAATTCTGTCCTGAGCACAACGGCACAGATAACCTACAGTGCTTTGATCGGCCTTCAAGACTGATGTCTCCAATATTTATGAACAGGTCAATTCACTAATCGTTGAAATATTCCTAAATAATTGTCTATTCTTCCTTTGCAGGGAGGGTCTTCAGGCAAAGGAACAGCTTTAAGGAATGGTTCAGATGCAGATCTTGTTGTCTTCCTCAGCTGTTTCCAGAGTTTTCAGGAGCAGAGAAACACAAGGCAGGAAATTCTAGAAGAAATTCAGGAAGTACTGAAAAAGTGTGCATTGAGCATTGCCTATGAGATCAGTGATATCAGCATAAGTTTCACACAGAACAGCAACATTCCACCAAAATCTTTGAGCTTTGCTGTAAAATCAAGGAAAAATTCGAGCAGTGTGAATTTTGATGTTTTGCCAGCCTTCGATGTATTAGGTAAGAATTTATGTCACTATTATATTGAATCTTGAGTTTAATTTTAATTCTTCCACAAATCTCTGCTACTCTTCAAGAAAGCCAGGAAGAGAGTGACTTTTGTCCACGTTGTTTCATCACATACGGATGTTAGGATAGGTATAATGTTCAGAATTAAAAAGGATAATAAAAGCTCATGGTGGAGAATAATATACTGACACGGTTAAAAGATTGGCTTGCTAACAGGAAGCAGTGTACATAATAATGGGCTGTCTTCTGCGTGTAGTGACTGGCCTATCACAAGATCAGTGCTGCGGTTCAACTTCTTAGAATTTATATAAATGACCTGGATGAAGAGATTAAAGGTATAGTTGTTGCATGTATCGATGATTCACATGTAGTTAGGAAGTAAGTTGTGAGAAGGACATGTGGAGTCTTCAAAGTGATATAGATAGGTGAAGTGAGTGGGAAAGATCTGAAACATGGAGTGTAATGTAGGAAAATGCGAACTCCATTTTGGCAGAAAACATTTTTCATAAAAAAAACAAAACAATTAATGATGAGAGACTGCAGGCGCAAAGGGATCTGTACCCTAGTGCTTGATTCAAAAGGTTAGTGTGTAGGTACGGCAAGTAATTAGAAAAACTAATGGAATGTTATTGTTTACTGAGGCAAATTGAACACAAAAATAGGGAGTTTATGCTTCGATTATACAGAACACTGGTGACACCACAGTCTGCAGCACTTTATATATTGGAAGCATAGAAAATAGGAGCAGGAGTAGGCCAGTTAGCTCTTCAAAACTGCCCAACTACTCATTATGATGATGACTATCATCCACCTTTGATAGCCTGTTCCTGCTTTGTCCCCATTTCCTTTGCTATTTCCAACTCCTCCTTGAAGTTATACAAAGTTTTTTTTGTCCTTGACTGCTTTCTGTAGTAGCAAATTCAACAGCGTCACCACTCTCCGGGTGAAGAAAGTTCTCCTCACCACAATCCTAAATGTCCTTGGACTGTGACCCCTGGATTTGGACTCCCTTGCTATCAGGAACATCCTGCATCTGCCCTGTCCAGACCTGCCATAATTTCAAAGGTGTCTGAGATCACTCCCTCATTCTTGTGAACTCAGCGCTTATAATCCTTACTGATTTCAACTTCTCCTCACACATCAGTCCTGCTGTCCCAGAAATCAGTCCGGTAAACCTTTGCTGCACTCTGTATATAGCAAGAACATCCTTCCTTGGATAAGGAGCTGCGCACACTATTCCAGGAGTGGGCTCACAAAGGCACTGTATAATTGCACCAGACATCCCTGCTTGTGTATTCAAATCTTCCTGCTGTGAAGGCCAACATACCAATTGCCTCTTTGCTGCCTGCTGCACCTGCATGCTTAACCTCCAGCAACTAGTGTACAAGGATACCCAGGTCCTGTTGCATATCCTTCTCAAATGAACATACTGCCTTTCTAGTTTTGCTACCAAAGTTGTTAAGTGTTGGGAGTTTTATTTATGGAAGGATGTAAATATGTTGGAAGCAGTTAAGAGGTGTCCATACTGATTCCTGGAGTAGGCCAGTTGTCTGATAAGGAAAGGTTGGACAAGCTAGCCTTGTATCTGCTGGGGTTTAGAAGAATAAGTGGGTCATTTGAATGAAACACAAAGTTCTAAGCGATCTTGACAGTTGGATATGCAAAGGATGCTTCCTGTTCTGGAAGAATATAGAATTAGGGCTCATTGTTTCAAAATAAGGGGTCACCTCTTATCACAGAAAATGAGAATTTCTTTTTTTTTCTCCGCGGCTTTAAGTCTTTGGATCTCTCTTCACCAAAGGCAGAAGTAGATAATGTCTTGACAAGCAATCGAATGAAAGTGATCTGGGATAGACCAAAACGCAGACAAATCAGATCAGCCATGATCAGAGCAAGCTTGAGAGGTTGAGTGGCCTACTGCTGACTTCTAGTTTATCTGTTCATATGATGGGCTTGGGTTATGGTGACAAACTGAACTGAGCTGTGTGAAGTGGTCATCGATTCTGTGTTTGGTCTCTCCAGTGTAAAGGAAAGCAGACTACAAACAGCATATATAGCAGGTTCAGTTAAGGAAATTGCAGCCATGTCTGGGAAGAGTATTTGAGGCCTTAGACGGTGAGAAAGGAGGAGATAAATGCTGAGCTGTTACATTTGTGGAGAAAAGTGTGTAGAAAGAGGAGGGTTGTTTAGGCTGGTTGGTCAGGACCAGGGTGATGTGGATCAATTGGCCCACTTAAAGCTGCAAGAAGGGAAACGAACATTGTTTTTGATGATGGCATTGCGTTGAAGGTGTTGAAAATGGTTGAAGATGATCCCTTTTAGTACAAGAACAATAGGGTACGAGATAATGACCAGCAGACCCTTATTGCGGTTCTGGAATGAGGTGACATGAGAAGTGTATGAAATGTTACAGATATTAAACAACAAATGTAAACTAAAAGAATGACAACTGATGACTTGACCTTGAGGAACAGGGTAACTATATCCTACTTATATCAGATGACCACAAATGACACCGTTTCTGTTGCTGAAATGTTTTGATTTCTTACAGAGGGATCATACGATGCAAACGAAGCCCATCTCAAGCTAATGGAATTTGTAAGTGAATATGGCGACCCATGTGGGGAATTTTCTGCCTGTTTTACTGAGCTTCAGAGGAAGTTTGTGAAGCAACGTGATGAGAAACTTAAAGACTTGATTCGCCTGCTAAAACATTGGTACAAAGAGGTGAGTGATTGGGGAACATGGCAAATGTAAATGTAAAAGATATGCGAGGACTGAAACGCATACAAAAAGTTGGTTTTCTCTGCCAGTAGTTACTGCATTCACAAATATGACTGATGAATCTGCAGTTCCTCCTTATTGAAAACCAGCAAACGGTTAATGAGAAGTTTGGTGAGTTTGCATGGAGGGGGATTGGCAGAATCTTTGAAGGAGTGTCCATATGTGCTGTTTCTCTGGGAGCTCCACCAGTCTCTGCTAAACGTACAATAAGAGACGAAGGTTGATTTCAGAAGCCAGAGAAAATAAGTGTCCATATTGTTAACAGTTGAACAATCTAGCCTCGCCTCTGCTGGAAACTGGCTTTGCTTGAAGTCATTGGAATGACTTCAGAGGAAAGGGAGATCCTGTACACCTTTGGCTTAGGTTAAATACATCTCAGAATCAGATCTTAATTCTCCAATGTCTTAAAAGAATAAATTCCTTGAAGCCAAACTGTGTGGAGGAGCTGTTTTCATGTTGATTACAGTTCAGGGATGGAGGTCAATCCTTTAACCTGCACATATTTGAACTTGGTGTTACATTTTATTGAGGATATGGGATTTCATCTTCATATCTTTTACACTCCTTTGTGCCTTTGCGTGACCATCTCAGTTTACTTGAACTTGCAAATGAAAACTTTTGATCAATCTTCTCACTAGCAAAGGCTGCATCCAATTGTCTAGCGCTTGGGAGCTCCAAAATACATTTTATTTTCTCTTATTTTGTAAGTTAATTCATTGTTGAATGATCAACTGAGCAATGATGAGGTGAAAATTTACAGTGCTCGTCTTCTGAATGGGAAATGGAAGCAAAAATTACCAATTTCGCCCAACAGTGGATGATATAAAGTAGATGCCATATGGGCATGGACAATTTGCAGGTGTGTCAGAGAGCTGTACGAAACGCCATGCTATCATTTGAATATTATTGATGAGGGACTTAATACCTGTTTACACCTTTTAAGCACTTGGTTGGCATTGATAGGTCCCTTCAGAATTTTTGCTTCTTTGTGCAGCTTCTCTATACGGCTGACTTCAAACAGATATAGAGACTCCTACATGTAGTGCTGTATGTTCCACAACTTTACCGAGAGCTGCTATCAAAATTCATGTTTGTAGGGAGAAACAGTAGAAAATTTTGATGTTGCGAATGGTCCTAAGAATCTAATTCCAAGTGCTTACTTTCTGTTTAACGTGGGCATGGATAGTCTGTCTCCTCAGCTTTACCTTCGTGAAGAAATACTGAACAGAGATCACGTGTGTCATCCAATGCAAGGGCAAAAGAGGACAATGTGAGCAGATCTTGTGGATTTCTTGGTGGATGCTGAGAATACGGTGCTGGTCTGGGTACACACAGTCTGGCCTCTGAGGAAATTTGAAATTCAAATAGGAAGTGCTGGAGAAACTCTGCAGATCCAGCAACATTGAAACGAGAAACAGTTCAGGTTTTGAGTTCAATGTGATGCTTTTTCAGAACTGAAAAGCATTAGAAAATGGTGGATTTTATGCTGTTGACAGGGGGAGGAGGAGCAAGTGGAACAGATAGTGAGGGTGCCCAGAGCAAAAGGCAAAGGGTGCCTAATGGTGGTGAAGTAGTGATTGACAGGGATAAAAACAGTTATAAATGAAGGCGTGAAAGGGGAAAATGGGTCTACTTTGCTGAGAGCAAAGACAACAAGATACAAACAAGATATATCTGTAGGAGGGGATGTAAGAAAAATGGGACCATGTCAGGAATGTTAATGTTCTCAGAGTTCTCTGGAAACAGAAGTATAAGGTGGGAGGTGGCATGAATAATTTTAATGTCATGTTGTGTATTTACATCAACCATTCAGTATGTCAAGCCACGGAAATCTGAGCTGGCTTCTGGTGAGCGTCTGCCTGCTAAGTATGCAGTGGAGCTGCTGACTATC